TTTCTGTGAATTGTGGGGACTTTCCATAGACTTCTATTACTTTTATACTGATCAAACGATATTTTCTATCCCCTAACCCAAACCTAACCCTAAACCTACCCCTAACAGAAAACCTGTTTGCATTGTTACACTTTCAGATAAACATAATTTACTATGTTTAATCATTCCCCCCCCATCCCCCCCTCGTGGGGACCACAGGCCGGTTCCCACAATGTCAAAAAATTTCAGGTTTTACTATCCTTGTGGGGACATTTGGTCGTTTGGCCCATCACAGCATTTTTTTGAATGCCGAGGTAATGTTACACAATGTAAGGTGCTATAAATCACAGTAACATGGATCTATTCCTAATGTTTTACAGTTTTGCGTGCATTAACTCCATGAACTGAATGTAGGTGTCACTCAAACAAATGACAAATAGAGCCACTGAAAAAATTATTATTATTAAACATATTTTCCATTTAATTTGAACCATTTATGATCTTTACAATGTAATGTCCCTACTTTACATCCAATAATACTGTCTAGATCAGTTATTTAAATATTATTATTAACTGCCTGTTTTTGATGTAACATTCGTTAGATACCTTTAAAAAATACCCAAACACGTGATGTCATAAACGAAAATATTATATTTGTATAGGCAACGACTAGTGTAAGGGTTTATGATTTTCTTCTAAAATATCTGAGAGATACAGATTTGATTAGAAGAATTGAGTTTTTTTTTATTATTTAAAAAAAAAAAATTTTTTATTAGTAGTATATGATATATTCGTTCATCGAGGCCTCACACTCCATCCCAGTAGGTGGCGGAAATGCACCTTAAGCTGGTTTGCCAACCGCCATTAAACACAAAAGAAGAAGAAGATGATGTCATAAACGCTGAAGCGATCTGGAACTGTCACATGGGGAAGCACAACATTTCCAGTCTAAAGAAAACATGATTCACATCTACCTTGCCTGCCTTTTTACATTTTCAAATGCCGTGTTTGCTAACCATATCGGAACACCAATAAAAACAAATGAAAGACCAATAATAGGTGAGTTGCAACGCTGTATTAAATAGAGTGCATGCCACTTTCAACTGTATTATCATTACATATTTCATGAAGTAAACCATGTCTAAATCTTGTCTAGGTGTTCTTGCCCAGGATGTGTATGACCCGCCGCCTCATAGAAACTCATATATTGCGGCTTCCTACGTTAAGTTTCTGGAATCTGCTGGCGCTCGTGTTGTGCCTCTGATGTAAGATAAAGCACTATAGATCAGGGCTGCCCAAACTCGGTCCTGGAGGGCCGGTGTCCTGAAGAGTTTAGCTCAAACCCCAATTAAACACACCTGAACCAGCTAATCAAGTTCTTACTAGGCATACTAGAAACTTGAAGGCAGGTGTGTTGAGGCAAGTTGGAGCTAAACTCTGCAGGACACCGGCCCTCCAGGACCGA